ATAGGTTTACTGCGAAAAATAATCGCTTTTGATCGCTACTAATCTTACTTCTATCTGTTGAGTTTAAAAGGAGAAAATGGTTAAAAACGACTCATACCGAAGAATGTAGCGTCCGTACAAATTCAGAAAGTTGCAACATTCAACTCATTTAGATATTACAACCAATAATCATCGATTATTTTTCGACGAACTCATTTTTCGCGAACACTCCCTTTAATAGCGCTCTTCAGTTTTAATATTTGAGCGCGCAATCTTTCAATTGTTTTTTTTTCTTGTGCGTTTATTTGATGAGAGCGAATGCAAGCGTGAAGCGTGCGTAGAATGCGCAAATATTTATTTGCAACAGCGCATAAATACTAATTGGTATTTTGATGAATGTGAATGATCGTAAACCAAAAGAGAAATGAAAATTTAAAAAAGAATTTTATTTTTTTTCTTCAGAAAATGATAGAATTCAATTGAAATCTGAAAGGGACTGTAGACATAATTTCATGTGCCACTCCGAGCCACAAACCTTTCTTTTAAACCATTTTCTGATTAAGGAAAGAGTATGAATAAGAATGTGTCGAAAAAATTTAAATATTTAAAAGTGGTTTCTCTGTAAAAAGAGACTTGCGGTTTTCTGCTAATAAAAAAACAATATAGAAATAAAACGTTTCTTTAAATTGCTTCTGCAGTCCTTTCAAGTTATAATGAAACCAATTCTAAACGATAAAATTTAAAATGTAAAAACATTTTATGAATGTTCTAAATTTTAAATCTGAAGAACTTTTTTAATCGGATTTAAAAGCGGAAATAGAGCATTTCAGACGAATGGATTTTTAATGGATAGGGTACCCACCTGAGATATAAGGATGGATAATAGATACATAGATAGATAGATAAATAGATTTATAGATGGATTGATTGATTAAGATCTTTCAAATTAAACGAATTAAAGAGATTGTAGGTAGACAAGTAGACAAGTAGACAAATAGACAAGTAGACAAGTAGACAAGTAGACAAGTAGACAAGTAGACAAGTAGACAAGTAGACAAGTAGACAAATAGACAAGTAGAAAAGTAGACAAGTAGACAAGTGGACAAGTAGACAAGTAGACAAGTAGACAAGTAGACAAGAAGACAAGTAGACAAGTAAACAAGTAAACAAGTAGACAAGTGGACAAGAAGACAAGTAGACAAGTAGACAAGTAGACAAGTAGACAAGTAGACAAGTAGACATGTAGACAAGTAGACAAGTAGACGAGAAGACAAATAGACAAGTAGACAAGAAGACAATTAGACAAGTAGAGAAGTAGACATGTAGACAAGTAGAGAAGTAGACATGTAGACATGTAGACAAGTAGACAAGTAGACAAGTAGACAAGTAGACAAGTAATCAAGCAGACTAGTAGCTACAAGGAGAAAAGTAGACAAGTAGACAAGTAGACAAGTAGACAAGTAGACAAGTAGACAAGTAGACAAGTAGACATGTAGACATGTAGACATGTAGAAATGTAGACAAGTAGCAAGTAGACATGTAGACATGTAGACATGTAGACAAGAAGATGAGTAGACAAGCGGCCATAAGAATAAAATTAGAATTGAAAAAAGTTAAAAACCAGCAATTATCCCAAAGATAAGCCCTCCTTAGATAGATAGATGGATAGATGGATAGATGGATGGATGGATAGATGGATAGATGGAAGGATGGATAGATGGATAGATGGACAACTCTCTACGTCTATATTTAGATTTCATGTCAGATGTATGTCTACTGGGTTTCCTCTGGGCAACAGAGGTGGAACTGTTTAACCTTACGCGAAACTTAGTTTAGCTTTATTTTTTTTTTGGGGGGGGGGAGTGGTTAATTTCCCCAAACTTTTATCCAATAAACCTTTGGAAATTAAAATCCAGTTTATTTTTACAAAAATGATAAAAAGCGGCCAAAAACTGGTTTCGTTTTAAAAAGTTTCTAGCTTCGGTAGTCTTGAAGAAAACTATACATATCTTGGTATCTGGTATATACAGAAGTATACTTAGATATCAAATATATATCTTGGAATCATGCAATGTTTCTATGTATATATTATATACATTTATATATATTTTTGATGTAAGGAAAGGGGAGTGGAACGGTAACAGAATTATGGGGGGGGTGTAGGTCACAAAATATGGGGGGGGGGGATACAATCTGAAAAATTGGATAAAGTGAACCTGTACAGTTGTAGATTCAGAAGACATGTGCACATGTGCAATGTGCAATGTGCACAGACCCTTTTCACTTAATACATCGATTTTAAAGGGAGTGTTTACGAAAAATAAAAGGGGGTGTTGGCTTACGGCGAAAAATAAGCGCTTTTCATCGCTAATAATCTTACTTCTAGCTGTTGCGTCTATAAGGATAAATTGTTAAAAACGACTCATGCTAAAGAACGTAGCGTCCATACAAATTCATTTGATGTATTTAATGTATACCCTCTTTCATTTTTCGCGAACGCTCCCTTTAAGCTATACAGTTATCTGCTTTGAAGCAACATCAAAAACACATAAAATTGCTGAAATATCGTCTTTCTTTTCCACGTAGCAATAGAATAGTGAAAGGTCTTGAAGTAGTCAGGGACAAATTATTGCAGGGAGTTAAAATAAGAAGTTTTTATGTCTAAAGTATTCATAGGTTTTGGTATTTGTAATATCTTAAATAATGGGAGTAAGAAAAATAACCATAATATTTATGCAGTACATTTAGATACGTACTTAAATTTAATGTATTTTAGATATATACTAGATATATACTAGGCTTACAAAACGTTTTACGTCCATTTTTTATGTAATACAACTACCTTTCGTATGAAAAATGTTCTTTTGTGGATTGCCATGTGAGGCACTACAAAAAAATTTCAGTACTTTTGCGTTTTTTTTTTAATAAAAACAAAAATAAACAGACAATCAAAATATGTTCAAAGATTTGTATTTGTATAAGGCTTGCTCTTGAACTCGTTAATCGTTCTTAATGTGCTCATATAAGAAAGTTGTTGATTTTGAAAATTGTTATATTTTATTTGAGAGAAAAAATGTTAGAAGAAAACTGAATTGGCACAATTGATTATTCAAACAATTGTAAATTGTGTCATGATGATTTATAAAGACAGAAATTACAGTTTTACGATTAGAATTTCTAATTTTTAAATACCTATTCTACTGTTACATAAATAATAGGCCATTATGGTGTATATTTAATTAACAATGTATAAAACGCGGACTTTTATCACAAATTTATTGGTGAACTATCATATTCATTGGTGAACTATGAGATCCATTGAAGAACTAGCATCTTCATTGGTGAACTATGAAATCCATAGATGAACTAGCATATTCATTTGTGAACTAGGATATCCATTGGTGAACTAGGAGATTCATTGGTGAACTAGGAGATCCATTGGTGAACTAGGAGATCCATTGATGAACTAGGAGATCCATTGATGAACTAGCATATTCATTGCATGGTGAACTAGGAGATCCTTTGGTGAACTAGGAGATCCATTGTTGAACTAGGAGATCCATTGTTGAATTAGCATATCCATTGGTGAATTAGCATATCCATTGGTGAACATTCATTGGTGAAATATCATAACCATTGGTGAACATTCATTGGTTAACTATCATAACCAATGGTGATTAGATCACTTGATATTACTCCTTTAGTCCCTTTATTATTTGTCAGGCATTGTGTGAAAAATAAAATTAATCCATCAAGGGTTTGGTTAATCAAGCAATCTATCAATCACTTGTTGTTTAATCACTCGGACACAATTTCATTTTCATTCATTCATTCATTCATCCATCCTTTTATTTATTCATTAAGATATTTTAAAGAAAATTTTAACTTTACAAATTCCTCTCAGTACTTCCTATAAATAGATGTGTGGTTTAAAGAAGAAAGAATTTTGCTTTTTAGATGGATCCAAAAAGTTTGACTACAATAACATTAATGAACAAACAATAATGTAAAGAACTAAAATTTATGAACCTACTATAGAGAAAAAGACTAAAATTTATGAACCTACTATAGAGAAAAATACTAAAATTTATGAACCTACTATAGAGAAAAAGACTAAAATTTATGAACCTACTATAGAGAAAAATACTAAAATTTATGAACCTACTATAGAGAAAAATACTAAAATTTATGTACCTACCATGAAGAAAAGGACTAAAATTTATGGACCAACCATAGAGAAAAGGACTACAATAAATTTTTATTTTGACTTTACGACACCTCGATGTTTGGACTTCATGACACCTCGATATTTGGACTTCACGACACCTTGATATTTTGACTTCACGACACCTCGAAATTTTGACTTCACGACACCTCGATATTTTGATTTCACGACACCTTGGTATTTGGACTTCACGACACCACGATAATTGGACTTCACGACACCTCGATATTTGGAATTCACGACACCTCGATATTTGGAATTCACGACACCTCGATATTTGGAATTCACGACACCTCGATATTTGGAATTCACGACGTCTCGATAATCTGAAACACGAAGAGAAAATTTATCAAACAAAAGATTGTTCCCTCGAGCAAAATTTTGAAACATATTTATCTCTAAATTTGAAGATTGCATGAGCGCGTGCGCGCGGGTCAGGTCTTTTTGTGCGCTAGTTAATATGAAATATAAAAGTTGATCTAAAGAAAATATTGAAGTTTATTTGCCTCGCTAGGTTTTATGCAATTATTATTTTTCTTATTTTATGGCCTGATGACTGCTGTCTTAATTTCACTAACTATTTTTCAAAACTTTCAGAAACTTATAAAATAAAAAAAAGGAGTATAGCTGTAATAATGACAATAATAATATTGATAATAATAATAATAATAATAATAATAATAATAATAATAATAATAATAATAATAATAATAATAATAATAATAATAATAATAATAATAATAATAATAATAATAATAATAATAATAATAATAATAATAATAATATATTTGTCTAGGTTCCCAAAGTGATATATACAGTGAGAGTAACTACTCTGAGCGGAAAACCCAAAGTGTTGTAAATGTTAAACAAAGAAAACAAAAGCATTCCAGGTTAGTTCAGTTAAATATCCCCCCCAAAATAAAATATCAATGAATTTACAGGGTTGTTCACAAAGGATGGAACTGTGAAGTGTGAATACGACCTAAAATTCATATAATATGATAATCCCATGGTAAAATGTGAAGTTAAATGGCTTATTTTATGATTTAGAAAAAAAAAATTTACAGTTGCAGAGAATCGTAGACTGACAGCGTAAATTCCGTACAGTCGTCTCTGAAGTCTCATCCTTTGTGGATAATCCTGTTTATTAAAAAAATCTAAGAACTCAATTTACGGAATATGTAAAGTTTAAAGTCTTCCAAAAACAACTTATTTTCGTCCTAAATGAAGCAACTTTTTTGCATGAAAAAAAATATTTTTGAGACACCTTTCTTTAGAACTTTATAACGCTCAAAACAAAATTGCGCTTTTATTGGAGAAAATTAATTGTTCTGTTCTCTCCTCTGGTAAAATTAATTGTTCTGTTCTCTCCTCTGGTAAAATTAATTGTTCTGTTCTCTCCTTTAGTAAAATTAATTGTTCTGTTCTCTCCTCTGGTAAAATTAATTGTTCCGTTCTCTCCTCTGGTAAAATTAATTGTTCTGTTCTCTCCTCTGGTAAAATTAATTGTTCTGTTCTTTCCTCTGGTAAAATTAGATGTTCTGTTCTCTCCTCTGGTAAAATTAATTATTCTGTTCTCTCCTCTGGTAAAATTAATTATTCTGTTCTCTCCTCTGGTAAAATTAATTGTTCTGTTCTCTCCTCTGGTAAAATTAATTGTTCTGTTCTCTCCTCTGGTAAAATTTCACAAAAGAATTTACACGCTTACTTACAAATTATAAGCCGTAAAAAACGTCTTGTTAGTATCAAATGAATCCTAATATTTTTCTCTATAATAATGCATTCTCGGTTCAACTATATTACCTAGCCGATCTTTCCCTTTAATTAATATATTTAACGAATGTAATTTCGTGTCTCTACTAATTTCGAACCAATAATTGTAATCTTTTAAGGTTAAAAATAAAGTTATCGGGAAAAGTGAAAAATGATGATTTAAAAAAATTTTATTTTAAACTTTTTATATTTGAATTCAAAGTATATGTTGATCGGTTCCTTTGAGCTAATCATTATTGTGACAGTTGGAAACTTTTTGTTCAAAAATGCACTTGTTGTCTTTTAAACCCAGCTGACATTCTCCTACATTTATACAAATGAGGGTTGTTTGAAATCACTTTTACAGTGTTAAGTGACGAGTCATTTTAAAGTGAAAAATTAGTAATAATTGAGATGGGACAATTTTTTTTTTCTTTAGTAAATTAGAAAATATTTTTTTTTTCTTCAAAATCTACAAAAAATATACAATCACCAAAAAAGGCAGTCACAGTTTCACCGTCAAAGGAGTAAATTGCTATACAAACTCAAATTTTCAAATCCGTTTATCTTGGCATTAGAATGTCGTAGACGTTAGATATTTTAAACTTTAAATTCTGTTAGATATCATAACCTAAATTTAAAGTATCAGTATCAGGTTGCAAAGGTATGGGGAATAGAGAATTTTAATTTGTGGCAACGATTCAATTTTCCTTGCAGAAACATGATTTTAGCGGTATTTAATTCGATTTTGATTGTTTTATTCTTTTAAAGAATGGCGTTTGGTCTGGTTTGCTTTGACAGCATTGAGCCCACGTTGAAGAATGTTACAGATCTGATGTCCTGTTTTGGGCTAATTGGGTTAAACTACCTTTCTTGTCCAGCTAATTGCAATGCATACCCTCATACTTATATAGAACTCAGTTACATCTGGGTAAACAAGTTTAAAACAACTCTATTTGTTGTGTTGAATTAATTTAAAGAATTTGAGCCGCGGCTTAAATTTGAAACGCGGCTCAAATATGGTTGGTTCCACTTAAAATTGTATTCAATGTTTTAAGATTTAAGCCTGCGCTCAATTGAAACTGTTTTTTGTGGATTTGAGACGCGGCTTAAATTCATTAAATTCGAACTCTGGTTTAAGGGACTGTGAGCCTTTATTTTAAAAGTCGAATGCTCGATTCACAACGTTACCCTTCACCTTTGTCAGATCATTGCTAAGGGGAATTTTTTTAAGTGACTGTTGGCGAAATTTCAAGTGACCCTCCATTTTTAAAGTGGCGTGCACGGTATTGTCTAATAAACTATTCACGTTTTTGTTTTTTTAAACTGTTTATTGTCATTTGCGGTTGCTCTTCAAAAGTGATCTGCGCATTTCTTCTTCTCAGACAAAATCAGAATTTAACACTTTTCAAGGTAGAAAAACGAAGTTATCTTCCTCTCCATACCGTTGTTTATCGGTCATACGCCTCTTTAATGGGAATGTTTGCGAAGAATGAAAGGGTGTATAGGCTTACGACGAAAAATTATCGCTTTTGATCGCTACAAATCTTACTTCTATCTGTTGCGCCATAAGGAGAAAATTGTTAAAAAGACTTATACTGATAAACGTAGTGTTTATAAAAATTTAGAAACAATTTTCTCATTATAGACGCAACAGATAGAAATATGATTAGCAGCAATCAAAAGCGATTATTTTTCGCCGTAAGCCTATACCCCCTTTCATTCTTCGTGAACATTCCCTTTAAAGAGAGATTTGCATAAAATTTCCCAAAGAGTCCCTGAGCAGAAGCATTTTTCAACATAAAACTTTTTTTTAGAATGGGTCGTTTGTTTGGGTCAGACTGTGAAGAAGAAACAGGCAGTGTTGTGTCTGATATTCCAGGGCTTTATGGCAGATCTGCCAGTATGGTAAACAATATACTTTAATTTAAAATTTTAAATGAAAATATTTTTTAACAATTATATCTTAGTTAGAATATTTTTGTATTGTTTACTATGGTTTTTATTTTGTAATCTACATGTATCATAATTTAATATTTTTGTATTATTATGTCTTATTTTGTAATATATATTTCATATTTTTTTACCTTAAAATCTCATAACTTTTATAAACTATTAAAATATATTGCATTTGCATACAAATGCATGTTTATCAAGGCTCATTAATTATAAATATTCTCTCTATATTCGTTTAATCTAATTTTTTTCGTTACACCCTAGATTTTTCTTCATATTTTGTAAAATAAAATAAATATATGCACTTTTTTTATTGTCAAAGTTGTCAAAATTCAAAAATATTTTTTTTTAGAATACCTTAGTTGAGAAGAAGAAAAAGAAAAGTGTCGAAGGAAAATTGGAACGAGTTGAAAAGAAAATGAAATCTATTCAAGATTCCTTGGGAAATATTGCAGGTATATTATCATTACAGGGGCGTACACGGGAATTGGTCCAGGGGGGGGGTGAGCTCCCCCCTCGTATTTCTATGATTTTGAAAATATAAGATTCTTGGATCACATTAAACGAACTGTAAGTGTAAATTCAAGTGACCCTCCATGTAATGATGCCAATGTTTATAACTTTTAAAACAGATTTTTTTTTCATTTGTGATTTCTCTAAAAAAAACTTCAGATCCAAATTTTGTGAAAAAAGACACCATGTGAACAAAATTACTCTACAAAATTAAAACACAATATTTTATTATTATAGTAAACCTTTATTATTATAGTAAACCTATATTATTATAAACCTTCCATTTTTCAAAGTAAACTTTATAGTTTAAAGTTGGGCCAGAAGATAAAAAATTGGAATTGTAATTCAATATTTTATGTTTATGCATTTGATTTTTTTTGCTTTGATATTCCTTTAATTAAATCTTGATTGCTTTTTATGTGATACAATCCTAAATTTTCACTTATTGTGTTTTGCCCCAAACTCTGTGTTTTTGATCCTTCTCAACCTGATGTTGTAAATCTTAAATTCTGTTAGATCAAATAACCTAAGTTTTCCACCATAAGATTACAAAGATATAGGGATTAGCAAATTTGAGTTTGTTGCAAAAACTCAATTCAATTGTTTTAATTAAACATTTAAGACGTCTTTGAACACACTTCTTCTTGTTTTGGAAGACTTTGGGTAGATTGTTTTTTTAAATTTATATTTATATTTATTTTTATAAATTTGTGAAACCTATTTTTCTTTAGGTGAGCAACTATCTATAACACCACCAAGAGATGTGTTAGCACTGAAAAAAGAATTAGAACTACAGGACAACTTTATTCAACAGTAAGTACATTTTCTAATACAGGGGGACCCATAAACAATGAGACGTCCAAGATGACTGTGCAAACGTTATTCTGTCATTATTCAAACATTCTTGGTTCTCGTAAATTTTTTTCTTTCTTTGTCAAATCATTAAGATACTATTAAAGCGAATTATTTAAGGATAAAGATAAAACAACCTCCAAATTGTTATATTTAGAGGGTTTCAGGTCTTCATTAACGTCTTATTCTTCGTGGGTAACCCTGTACATATAATAGTTATTCTAATTTAATTATTTTTCTTTATCTAATCAAAAAGTTGAATTAATTTTTACTTACGTTAAGAATTATCGAATCGTTAACAATCGTTAAACGTTTGCGAAACTAACATAAAATAATAAATATTAAACCAAAACTTCTAATTCAGATCTCAAGTTTTATTTTCTAAATGTCTCTCAGAATAATTGACAAGAATTTCACTTCTCCGCGTCTAAAGTTTCTTTTGACTGAGATAATTCTGCCCTCCATTAAAACATGTTGTTAGGGTTAGGACAGAAATATTAAAAAGCGACAAAAACCTGCAGGTTACTCCTTCCCCCCCAGCCCCCGCGCCATAAACCCCTTTNTCTATCTATCTATCTATCTATCTATCTATCTATCTATCTATCTATCTATCTATCTATCTATCTATCTATCTATCTATCTATCTATCTATCTATCTATCTATCTATCTATCTATCTATCTATCTATCTATCTATCTATCTATCTATCTATCTATCTATCTATCTATCTATCTATCTATCTATCTATCTATCTATCTATCTATCTATCTATCTATCTATCTATCTATCTATCTATCTATCTATCTATCTATCTATCTATCTATCTATCTATCTATCTATCTACCTATCTATCTATCTATCTATCTATCTATCTATCTATCTATCTATCTAGAATGAAGAAGAGTATGTATGGAGAGAGAAGGAACAGTAAGATGTGTCTTGAACTAAGGTTAAAAATCCTAAATTATGAACGAGAGAGGAAACTAAGAATACTCACAGACAAACGGAAAAAGCTCTCCAGGATGAAATCTAACGAGTAAGTATTTAACATTTTAGTTATTACCATATTAAAGGGATTGCTAACGAAATTGTCTGTGGCCCTTTGAACTCTTCTCAATGTTAATATTTTACCTAAAAACTAGACATTGGTTACTTTTAAAAAATATTGTGCAACTTAAATGGTTCAAATGGTTTTATAAAGATACATTGAAAAATTACCTAGAAGATTATTAATCAAAATATATGCAGTACACTCATAGTCAATATATTTACATATCAATATTAATATTTCTCATATCTACACTATATATTTCTATCTATTAACTATCATTTATCTATCTATCTATATAGCTTGCTTAAGCATAAAGATTAAAAGCTTAAGGACCGTATATTGAAGCCTGTTAAGCTGTGTTGCACAGGAAACGGATATAAGGTCTGCAAATCCCCTCCTCCCCCTTACTCCCCCCCATAGTTTTGAAAATTTTGCACATTATCTTTTTCTGCAGACAACTCTAATATTTCCGGAGTATTTTCAAACCTCGTTTGATGAACCCATTTCCAACCCAATTTATTAGCAAATTTGCAAATATTTAATGGACTGAAAACGTAATTTCAACCCGCCTTCTATTTCAAGATTATCTGAATAAACAATGACGAGAATAATACCGGTTTTCTATCTTAAAATGTGTTGAATTTTGACATTGAGACAAAGGTTTAAAGGGTACCGTTGTGAATCGGACATCCCACTTTAGACGTTTAAATTCCGTTGAAGCCTCTCTTCATGCTGCCCCCCCCTCTCTACACCCACATTACAAGATGCAAAATTATGAATGCTAAGCGGATTTAATTCTTGTATTTATTGATATAAATTTATTAGGCTAATCCGGCCAATAGAATGCAATCATTCATCCTTATATTTTTATATTCATGCTTATATTCACCCATACATTCATTCTTACATTCATCCTTACATTCATCCTTACATTCATCCTTGCATTCATCCTTACTTATATTCATTATAACATTCATCCTTACATTCAATCTTGCATTCTAATGTTCATCATTTTAACATGGGGGGTCGGCCGTGGGGGGGGNGTGTATCCTGTGTATCCTGTGTATCCTGTGTATCCTGTGTATCCTGTGTATCCTGTGTATCCTGTGTATCCTGTGTATCCTGTGTATCCTGTGTATCCTGTGTATCCTGTGTATCCTGTGTATCCTGTGTATCCTGTGTATCCTGTGTATCCTGTGTATCCTGTGTATCCTGTGTATCCTGTGTATCCTGTGTATCCTGTGTATCCTGTGTATCCTGTGTATCCTGTGTATCCTGTGTATCCTGTGTATCCTGTGTATCCTGTGTATCCTGTGTATCCTGTGTATCCTGTGTATCCTGTGTATCCTGTGTATCCTGTGTATCCTGTGTATCCTGTGTATCCTGTGTATCCTGTGCATCCTGTGCATCCTGTGTATCCTGTGTATCTTGTGTAACCTTTGTATCTTGTGTATCTTGTGTATCCTGTGCATCCTATGACACTAAATATTTCTTTTTGAATTATGAAAGCAAAATTAAAAATAAGTTTATTAAGAAAACATATCCCAATGTTCCGCCCTGGTTTTATGTGACACAATAATGCAATTGCAGGGTATAGAAACATCCATCCTTTTATGCATAGCTAGCCATGCCCTCCTCCTTTCTATGCATAGAGAGCCATACTAAACTCCTTTCTAAGCATAGCTAGTCATGCCCACCTCCTTTCTATGTATAGAGAGCCATACTAAACTCCTTTCTATGCATAGCTAGTCATGCCTACCTCCTTTCTATGGATAGCTATCCATGCCAACCTCCTTTCTATGCATAGAGAGCCATACGAAACTCCTTTCTTTGCATAGCAATCCATGCCCACCTCCTTTCTATGCATAGCTAGCCATGACCACCTCCTTTCTATGCATAGAGAGCCATACTAAACTCCTTTCTATGAATAGCTAGTCATGCCCACCTCCTTTCTATGTATAGCTAGCCGTGCCCACCTCCTTTCTATGTATAGCTAGCCATGTCCACCTCCTTTCTTTGAATAGCTAGCAATGCCCACCTTCTTTCTATGCATAGCTAGCCATGTCCACCTCCTTTCTTTGAATGGCTGGTCTTGCCCACCTCCTTTTTGAGCATAGCTACCCATGCCTACCTCCTTTCTATCCATAGCAAGCCATGTCCACCTCCATTCTTTGCAAAGCTAGCCATGCCCACCTCCTTTCTATGCAAAGCTAGCCATGCCCACCTCCTTATTATGCTTAGCTACCCGTGCCTACCTCCTTTGGCTTTCCATACAAAGCCAGCCATGCCCACCTCTTTTCTATGTATAGCTGGTCATACCCACCTCCTTTCTATGCATATAGCTGGCATATGCATAGCTACCCATGCCTATTTCCTTTCTATGCATAGCTACCCATGCCTACCTCCTTTCTATGCATAGCTAACCATGTATTCCTCCTTTTTATGCATAGATACGCATGCCTACCTCCGTTCTTTGCATAGCTGGCCATGCCCAGCTCCTTTCTATGCAAAGCTACAATGTCCACCTCCTTTCTATTTTATTCCAACCCCCCCATACCCTCCGAGCCTCAAACATTTTCGTCTTAGAATTTGAAAATGTTGAAGCCTTAAGTTTGTAATCTTTTCTAATCTGTCTCCAAATTCGATGATTAGAAACGCCTTCATTTGAATGAATACTCCCATGGACCACCCCACAGATTAGCTTGATAAAACAAGATATTGTGCTTTCTAAAAATAATCGATCATTTTAAAGTTATGCAGAATTTTTTTTAGAGATCTGATAGAATCTTAATACACATTAAAGTAAGTGCAATGTGTACGTAAGATGAAAATCTCACATGTTTTTAATAAAACTCCTCTTATTGACGAATTATCATGAGAAGAAGAAAGATGTTATTAATATGTCGCTATGAACTCCTCTTATTGACGAACTATCATGAGAAGAAGAAAGATGTTATAAATATGTCGCTTTGAACACCTCTTATTGACAAACTATCATGAGAAGAAGACAGATGTTATAAATATATCGCTATGAACTCCTCTTATTGACGAACTATCATGAGAAGAAGAAAGATGTTATAAATATGTCGCTATGAACTCTTCTTATTGACGAACTATCATGAGAAGAAGAAAGATGTTATTAATATGTCGTGAATTGACAGTTTTTTCTCTTTAGTTTGCAGTCAGTACCAATCCGATATATGGTTTTACCAGTGTTTTCCTTATTCCGTCAATTTAAAAGTTCTCAAAAATTAGTTTTAAAAATTTCAAACGGCTTGAAAACATCTTTTAATTCTATGAAATTTTATTTTGATCTAGTTGTGCGCGGGGCACAATAAACTGCCTGGCCTAAATAGTATACATTTCAATTATCCAGCAATCCATATATAAACTTAGACTAATTTAGGAGATAGATAGATAGATAGATAGATATAGATATATGCTAATTTACATACAAACCTTACAAACCTTACTTGCAGATGGATAGATAATTTGACTAGGGTATACCATATAATTCGGCCCTATAATGGTTTTTGTATTTAGTTTCGCTTCTAAGCTCGAAACTAATAAATAAAAATGTTGAGATAATTCTCATTTTTTCTTGAACCCTCTTAGAAATGCATCCTGCACATATATGATTAAAGAATTGAAATCCATATATCTAATATCTAGTCTACGTATGGAATATGGATGTAATATTTGCACAGCAGAGTATTTAATTTTATCTCTAGTATAGAGTAATAAATTGTAATGTACGTATTAGTTTGAATACTCTAGGACCAAAATTGTGATAATTCTAATATCAATATGTCTAAGTTTTTCTTTTTTTGTATATTTTTATGAATAAGCTGTCAATGTCTTAAATTTTAAAAACTGATTTTTTTTCAATTTTGTTGTTTTTCCACGAAAGTGATTTAATGCCTAGAAAAACAATAATATGTTCCAAGTATACCATTTTAAATTTGGCATTGCTATCTTTGTATGTAATTGTAGGGTCACTTCAAATTACGCTTACAGTCTCTTTAACTAATTATTTTACCTATTTTTATTTAGAAATATTGACGCTTGTATTACTGCAGCTGAATTGGAGTTTTGTATTGAAAGAGAACAGGTTGAAGTAATGGGAATATCACAGGTAATTATATATTCAGAAAAAAAACTTTTACTTTGATTTTTTTTACTTTTTCTTTTTTTAAATAATCTACTTTTTAAATCTTTTTACTTCTTTTTTTCTTTTTTGTTTAAACAACGAAAGTACGTGAATTTGTTTAGACTTTTTAAAGACTTATTTTTCAGGTTGATCTTAAAAAATGTTTTGACTTATTTCAATATTTTTACTTTTTTTATGACGTATTGAAGGTTTACTTTTTTTAGGAGGTACAGGTTGTTCAGGGAAGGTTAGACAGGGAGAAGAGAAGAACAGATACCTTATATATAAATAATAATAATTAGGTCCCTGGATTAACCCTAATAAGCCGTGAGTTGAGGGAGCGAGGGAGGGATATCCTCTCTCTGCGAGGGGAGGGGAGGGATAGCATGAGACTAGATTCTAGGAGCGAGGGGAGGGAAGGAGTTGTCGTCACACAAAATATTTTTAACTTAAAGGTAATTATCATTGTTTAGCATTCGCCTCCACAATAAATTCGGCCAATTTCTTTGAACCTGAACACTTTTGTATAACAATTTATAAAATTTGAAGACTAATGCTCATGATACTAAACTGTGTCCCAGTACACATGTGAATTAGTTATTTAAATAAACCCATTTTAGTTGCATTAAAAGATTTAACATTGGAAACTACTGGTCTTGAGATTTTAAATATGTGGTCTACCATTTTTGACGAAGATATGGAGAAATTGGGCCAGATTATTTATTATCATTTATTGAATCATTAAAATAATCAATTGAATGAAGCAACAAAAAATCAAGCTTCAAATCGACCTTTTTTTAGAATTTCGGGTCGTCTTTAAAATTTCATCCTTTCTGGGTAACCCTGTATATATAAATTTGTTTGTATAAATATATATGTTATCTATAGCTGGCCAAAAGGCTGGACTTAATGTGCTGACAATTTTTGAGGGAACCCTTGAGTACCCCGGGGTAACATAGGCTAAGTAAATTCGATATTTTTTTGAAAATGGGAATTTTATTTCCTCATAAATCGAATATTTTTCCTAATCAAATTTTTTATAGTTTTTTTTGTTCGATTTTAAAAATTCCACAACCAACGCCGGGCACTTAGGCTAGTAAACACATATATCTATAAAATAGTTTTCTTTTTTTAATGAATGAATTCTGTTAAGGAGGGTGATATAGTCCTTGAACTGAATGGAGAGAGTATGCTGGGGGTGGGGGAGGAGGAATGGGCAGAGCTAAGGATGGCGGAGTACCCCTGGCGGTTAGTTGTGGGGCGTAGAGGGGAGGAGAAGGGGGCCGGGGAAGGGGAGATGAAAGGGTTACAACAAGATATTGCACTAATACAATCCAGGTACACCAAACTTTGCTTTTGTTAATTTATTTATTTCATTTAATGAATCCGGAAATCTTTGAAAAAGCTTAAAATTACTGAACACTCCCTTTCAGGTTAGAGGAGAAGTTGAAGGAGGGAAGGGACGTGTCGAGTGTCCTGGGCATGGTCAGCAAGGAGAAGGAGAACCTCGAACGAGAAAACACGAGGCTAAACCACAGAATCTTCTACCTGGAGGAACAGGTACGCTCAAACTAAATTTTAAATGCCGCGTTATATTTGGAAAGACAAAGCTAGTCGTCTTCATTCTGATTAAAAATCAAGCTAAATGTTTTAAATAAGATACTTTATCAATCTTAATTTTCTAGGTAAATGATTTACAAAAGAGCCTTCGGCAGGTTCGAGACAGTTTATCCCGGACCTTGAACACGGAAATACAGGATACACTGCATAAGTTGGACACCATGGGGATCCAGAACCTTGTGTTCCAACGAGGAAACCATATGGCAAGTATTGAGGTGCCCCTGGATACTGTATCCAGCAGCTCAGGGGTGTATAGTGGAGCAGGGAGTGAAGGAAGCAATAGTCCAGATAGTCATCATGTTGCCAGGATGCTGGTTACTCAGGTATAGGATAGTAATTAAGATTTATTGTCAAAATCCACGAAAAATAAACGACACATCCGCAAATTTTTTTTAACTGTTTGAGAATTCAAAAAGAGAAATTTTGGCAGATAGAACAACGCTTAAAAGCTAAAACCAAAATGGAAGCTATAGCTTTTAAATAAGTTTATAAAATTTTATTATCAAATACAATTTTGATCCCTGTTGATGTAATTTTAAGTGACCCAGTATCTAAAAATTGCATTTCCCCATTGTTTCTGATGGATGAATTCGATTAATCCTTGTTTGAGAGAAATGACAATTAGAAGTTTTCCGTTGAGATTCAGGCATGTCACTCTTTACCTAGAGGGTCACTTAATATTTCCTTAACAATCCCTTTATTTTTTTTTAATATTTCAGGAGAAGAACCGAGGGAAGAGAGTTGAAAGATCTGGATCCCGAGTTCAGAATCTGACAAATCTTGTAAAATTACCATTTACCAGGGGTGGTCCCATGGTACAGTACAACCAGGGGAATAAAGTTCAAGAGTTCTAATTGTTATTTCGGAACAGTCCCTTATTTTTATGATCATTTAAAGGTACAGTTAACAAATTTTCCATGTGAAACAACTATGTAATTTTTGTGAATTGTCCATTGAACCTTTAATAATTCATTAAAATAATCAAATATTAATTCATGTAAACGTTTTGATTTTTGCAAAACCAGTATTTTACAAGTATTAATTGTTAAAAATTATGAAAACTTTTTATGTGTCTTGTCATTTGAGTTAAAAATGACAAGAATCCATTGAACTAACTTCCCCCCCTTTAGACACCCTCACCCCCCTCCCCTTTTAAAACACCCTCACCCCCCCCCCTTTCAAATCATTTTTTATTTGTATATTTTAAAATATATCTTTGTAAATTGTACATGGACTCTGTTATGTACTGCTATGTACTGTTTTCTTTTGTTTACTTCAGTAAACAATGGTTTAAATATGAAATGTTATAATTAAAGATTATAATAAATTTTTAAAAGAAAGTTATTTTCACTCTAAGAATCTTGGTAAAAAAAAACATTGTACTTAGGAATCTTTTCAGCGGTATCTTCCCAAAGACAATTTTTCTACGGCGACTTCCCAAGTGAAAATTACCCAAGCGGAAACTTCCCAAATTCGCAATTTCCCAAGAATTAGGCCTTTTGTGGTGCCGCAGGCTGTAAAGGGGGGGGCGAGCGCTCCGGCTAGGATGGGCTAGTTGGGAAGTTGCTGCTTGGGAAATTGCACAATTGAGAAGTTACTACTTGGGCAATTGCACAGTTGGGAAGTTACTGTTTGAGAAATTGTACAGTTGGGAAGTTACTGCTTGGAAAATTGCACAGTTGGGAAATTACTGTCTGGGAAATTGTACAGTTGGGAAGTTACTGCTTGGGAAATTGTACAGTTGGGAAGTTACTGCTTGGGAAATTGTACAGTTGGGAAGTTACTGCTTGGGAAATTGTACAGTTGGGAATTACTGTTTGAGAAATTGTACAGTTGGGAAGTTACTGCTTGGAAAATTGCAAGTTACTGCTTGGGAAATTGTACAGTTGGGAAGTTACTGCTTGGGAAATTGTACAGTTGGGAAGTTACTGCTTGGGAAATTGTACAGTTGGGAAATTACTGTCTGGGAAATTGTACAGTTGGGAAGTTGCCGTTTTGGAAAAAGTCTATGGGTAAGTATCTAACATCTTTTCAGCCTATTGTATTTCAGTTATGTAAATACCAAATTTTTAAAGTAAAATCAATTTTTTTGGGGAATTATTCAAAGGGAAAGAATTAATTGAACTTATATTTGTATATTTCGTCCCAAACATCTTTTAATAATAAAGATCTGATAAGCAGTTGCGACACAATTACAGAATCTAAAGCAATGCTTCATAATGAAAATAAAAATACATTTATTTCATAGTTTTCTAATTCTCACTGTATATATCTATCTATCTCTCTATTTCGTCTCAGAAAGTTTTAAGGGACTGTAAGCGTAATTTCAAGTAACCTGCCATGCAAAAATGGCAATGTCCGATTCACAACAGTACCTTTTAAAGCTTTGATTGGTCCAGTATATATTAATCAAATATTTTGACAACGGATTATTTCTAATTGTGTTTTTTGATCATTTCTACTGCAGGAAAACATATAGGAAATATCAGAATTAAACATATTTAAACCAAGAAAAAGAGACATAATCGTGCATTGTCATATATCTTTGCATGGAAGGTCACTTGAAATTACACTTACAGTCCCTTTAAATCGAATTATCGAGGAAGACATAATTAAAAATAGAAATCTAGCGAAGATAAAGATTTTATCATTAATTTCAATAATAATCTTGATTTATCGACGGATACGATGTAATTTAAGAACACAGCGAGAAACAGGATGAGAGATAGATAGATAGATAGACAGTAAAGAAAAAGAAAGTAAAGAACATGAAATTGGAAGAAATAATTTTTCAAAATGTTTTATTGAACTATACAGTATTTTTTTAAAAAACAATGATAGGTTTATTAGAACCGAAATTCAATGAAGTTTCAAATCTGGACTTTATTGGATGTAAATTAATAAGAATTATCAGTGTTTAAAGTTTTGTTTGTTGACACCCTCCCCGTAGATTTCTCTAAGTCTGGGAAATTATAGTTCTAAGTTTTGACATTTGGTTAATCAATTTCACAAAATTCTCATATTCACAATACAACAATTAACATAAAACAAGTGTTTACGTTCTTAATCGATCTGTCTGTTTTCCTTGAATACCTATGACTTGAAGACTATGCAGTGGGAAGAAATAAAAAAAAAACTTTTTTCAGAATTCATTAATACTTTTAAGAATTGTAAGATTGTGCGAAGAATTTTTAAAAAAATGTTCTTTCCTTTTTTTCAAGTCTTTTTATTTTTTAGTAAACTTTCTAACCCCTCCCCATATTTCACCCCTCTTCTCCCTCCTACCCCCTCCCCCTCCTCCCTGATTGTTAAAGGAAACCATTACGCCCCCTGTCTCCTTTATACTTAAAACCCTGTTGGACATTACCAAAGAGAAACACAGACTTACACAGAGTAACCACAAAACCATAATTTTCAAATCCTTATATCTTTGCAACCTGATGTCGTAAACCTTTTATATTTTAAACAATATAAATTTTATTCTGCATGATCAAATAGTCGAAGTTTTCACCATCAGGTTGCAAAAGAATAACACTTTAAATTTGACCCGGTCATAAAATTGAATACACAACATTCATAGGTATCTGGACCCTATACTCTTTATATAGTCTCTGCTCTATACCATAGTGTTCCCACACTATTCTGATTCTGGGGTGGAAAACATTAAATAGGGAAAAAGTGGGAGAAAAGGGAAGGGGGAAGGAAGCTCTGTTGGAAATGAGTGTGAAGGAAGGGGTGGTTCCTGAAATACATTATCTAATGAACTAGGCTGTTCACCTTAAATTACGGCTTCTTCCGCAAATATGGGGAAAATAAAAACGGTTTTAGTTAAAACACATTTCTACACAGATTACACAGGTTACACAGATTACACAGATTACACAGATTACACAGATTGTACAGATTAAACAGATTATGGATTTTGTAGCGGGGCCAATTACGTCTTCCTTCTCAATGAAAAAATCCACCAACAAGATTAGATAATTCTCAAAACATCATTCTCCTCACATTATATTTTCATTACAGTACATATGTTTTATTACTATTCTTTCAATTAATTCTTTAAAGTTTGCTTGCCTTTCTCTTTTTTCCTTCTTCCGCCTTCCTTCTTTGTTTTCAACCTTTTCCTAATATTTCCTTCCTATACTTCCTTCCTATACTTTCTTCCTATACTTCCTTCCTGTACTTCCTTGAGTTCATTTATCTTCCTTTTACTTCCTATTCCATCCTTTTACTTCCTATTCCTTTCTTTTTCTTGCTATTCCTTCCTTTTCCTTTCTATTCCTTCCTTTTACTTCCTATTTCTTCCTTTTATTTCCTAATCCTTCCTTTTACTTTCTATTTTCTTCCTTTTAATTCCTATTCATTCCATTTACTTCTTATTCCTTCCTTTTACTTCCAATTCCTTCCTTTTACTTCCTATTCCTTCCTTTTACTTCCAATTCCTTCCTTTTACTTCCTATTCTTTCCTTTTACTTCCTATTCCTTCCTTTTACTTTTTATTCCTTCCTTTAACTTCCTATTCCTTCCTTTAACTTCCAATTCCTTCCTTTTACTTCCAATTCCTTTCTTTTACTTCCTATTCCTTCCTTTACTTCCTTTTCCATCCTTTTACAAAAGTCTCCACACAAATCTGCCCCTTTGGTAAAAGTAAATTCAACCTATATGAAGCATAAAGTCTGACCGCGTCAACCTTGTTGCACCGACTAGTCTTGTCCATAAAGCTAGGTACAGTGCAAACTGGGATTGGAAAGGTTGACCTGGCTTAGAAATTCAAATGTACTACGGCTGCCCGTGTCTCATTCTTTGCGGGTAACCCTGCACATCTGTGCGTGTAACTGTAAATTGTAGGATGTGGATATGAACCATATAAAGATATAGCGTTAGCACCCACCAAGTAAAAAAGATTTGGTGTCAACAATTTAAGTTCCCATTTTCGCCATTTTTCAGTAGGAAATTTTAAAAAGAATTAGATAGCTCTGATAAAAAATGGATTTGATATAAAGGGATTAAAGATTCACAGCAGTACTCTTTAAATATGAATTTAAATATGGTATTCGTACTTGATCAGACAACGGTTTACAGGGCATCGTTGGGAATCAAACAACATGGACTTAGACTCAGGCCTACAGCCCCTTAATACTAATGTTTTATAACGGGTTCAAGTAGTTCCTCAGTAGTTCCGTTTCCCGGTATATCAATCTAACTGTCAGTAAATCTATCTTTATAAACATACATTTAGCCAACTTCTATCTATCTGTCTATATATCTATCTATCTGACTATCTATCTATCTATCTTATCTAACGGTTAACTACAGGGTTACCCACAAAGGATAAGACTTCAGAGACGACTGTAGGTAATCTAAACTGAAATCATTTTTTTTCATAATTCTCCGCAACTTCTTCTTTTGCACAATCATTAAAAATAGATATAGATCACCGAGTCCATTAGCGCCTGATCCAATCAGATTTCAGTCTAATCAGGGTTCTGTCATGTGTTTCTGAACCAATAGAAATTGCATGGCAGTAACATCTATCTTTCTATCTATCTCATTATCCAATTAGAGATGAATCCTTATATCGGCGCTATCAGTAAATGGAAATATTTACTTCTACTGAAACTATAGTGCAGGGAACAGATAGAGATAGAGACTATATTCAAGGAAGAAGGCTTCATAAAACGATGGGATTTTATATTTTAAAAGTTTTTGGTCGTCTTACAGTCTCATCCTCTGCGTGGGTAACCCTGTGGCTATTTATGTCATTCAAATCCATCAAAAAAAACCATAATAAACTTATTACGATGTGAAATTTAAAATACAAAAAAATATTAAATAAAAACCCTAAATTCTACATTATCCATGGCTAAAAAGGTTCAACTGCGGTTTGATATACATAAATATATATATATATATATATATATTGATTGATTGATAGGAATTTAGAAGAAGAGAGATTTTTCAATGTTTTTGAGACTCCTCCCATTATACTAAATTTATGTGTATCGATTAGCCTAAAGGCAGCTGAATCTGATTTACAAGAATTAAAGATTAAAAATGACCTGGATCCTGAATTAAATTATCTATAATGCATTTGCAACGGGGTTGTAAAGAGACTGTACTCGTAATTTCAGATTATTTTCCGTTTAAGGAGTTGCTTGTCCGATTTTCACAAGAGCACCCTTTGTCTGATCATCGACAGCAACGATATCATAAATTCTTAAACTAAACATTGAGTGTCGGTAATGTAAAGTGTACACAAACATGTTTATTGGGACACCCTGTATGTGAATTCAGAATTGCACTCTCAATTCAGGGGATATTAGTTCCAAAA